CGAAGAGCTCGGCCCGGAGTAGGCTTCCTGTCACGGTGACAGGTGGGCAGGCCACAGAGGTCGGCCCCAGGAGGCCCCCCCGGCACACAGGGGAAGGAGTTGGGGGGAGAGAAGGGACATGGGGGGAGGGGCAGAGTGAGGCCCCTGCAGTGAAGGAGGGAGTGGGGCACTAACAGTACAGCAGGGCTCGTCCGGGGGGTGCAGGGGGAGGGGGGCTCCCGCAACAGCACAAACTCCAGGAGGGCATGGGGGTGGCATATGCCCCCAGATCTGCCAGTGCTGCCACCACCTGCCCCAAGCACAGCTGGGCCCAGCCCCCCATAGGGAAGAGGCTGGCACTGCCCCTGGCCCCAGCCTGCAGAGGCAGCGCACCCTGCCCTGCGCATAGATCTGGGGGCACATCCCCCGCATGCCCTCCTGGGGTGCACACAGTGGCGGAAGCCACCCTGCCCTCCCCACACCCCCTGGACGAGCCGCAGCTCCATCCCGTGTCCTGCCCCAGCAGTACCTGCCAATGACCCTGCCCCAGCACCAGCTCCACTCACTCCCTCACCACAGGGGCCTCAATCTGCACCCAGACCCACACACAATCCACTTACCAGCCAAACCTGGCTGCTCTCCACGCTGCCGGGCGGTGCTCCTGGCTGCCTGTGTGCTGCGCTTCGGCTGCATGCATACACAGGACATTTATTGGCCACACTAGCCAAAAAAGCCAATTGCCAATACTCTCAATTTTCCTCATATCAGTGCCGATCCGATATGGGACCAATGTATTGGTGTACCTCTATTTTTCAATTTATGTAATCAAATAAATAATATAACAAAGCAGAATCTGATGCTGTACTGTACATGGCTGCTTATACTACAAGTGTAAGGAAAAAGACCACACATAAGAATAAAAATGTAGTTTAAGGAGGGGGAAAAAAAGGATCATTCTATTAAAGAAGGGCTGTCTACTTCTAAGTATCTAGGAGTCACACTTTGCATGGGTTGGAAAAGTAAGGCCCATGCTAGTGTGATCCACAGACCACCATAGACTTCAGACACTAGGGGCTGGAAGGGACCTCATGAGATCATCGAGTCCAGCCCCTCTGCCATAGGCAGGAAGTCCGCTGGGGTCAAACGATACCAGCAAGATAAACATCCAAATGCCTTTTGAATTACTCCAGAGTAGGTGCTTGCACCACCTCTGGGGGGAGTTTGTTCCTGGACACTCAGACTGTAAAGAAGTGTTTCCTGATGTCCAGTCTAAACCGGCCTTCCATAAGTTTGTGACCGTTAGACCTTGTTATCTCTTGGGAATAACAACTGCTCTCCCAGGTCCTGATGTACCCCTCTTATATACTTATAGGCTGCCACCAAGTCCCCCCTGAGCCTTCTCTTCTCCAAGCTGAAGCGTCCCTTGTCCCTCAGCCTCTCCTTGTAAGGCTTGCTCTCTTGGCCTTTGATCATACAGGTGGCTCTCCTTTGGACTCTCTCAAGCTTATCCACGTCCCTCCTGAAGTGGGGGGCCCAAAACTGGACGCAGTACTATGCTACCCCTTCACTGCCCCATGGTCACAGGTAGTCCCCCCCCTGGCAATGCTGCCCAGCAGACATGGGTAGCCCCCACCTCAGCTCCCTTACCGCACCCCAAGTTAAGATCTCCACCCCCCAGGCATGGGAGTAAGAAACAAAAGCTGAGGGTGGGATGAGGAGCCTACAGACCACAGCTGCAGTAGCAGCCAGAGCAATAGGGAGAATGATGGCCAGGTAAGAGCCCAGGGACCACACCAGTTGGACAGCCCTGCTTTAAAGAGACATTCTATTTTTTTAAAACCCTGATTATTTATTACAATTAGAAGAGTAAAATAGCATTCTTTTGTTTTCAAATGAATGACTTTAATACAGGCATAAAGCAGAATTCTCCTGTGTGCAAGGAACAAACCATTTCTAAACCAAAAGACAAGTAAATAAATGCGTACCTTTTGTTGCCTTTCCTGTAATGACTGTGCATTCATTCTTAGCCTTTGTATTCCCCTTACTATCTTGTGCAAGGACAAGATCCAATGCTTTCTGTACATCAAATTTACTATTCAGCACTGCTTCCACCATCACCTGCTCTGGTACAGACTCTGCAAGAACTTCTCTCATCTGGTCAAGGCATGAATGAAGTCGAGCTGCAAAAAATGAAGGTAATAAATGCTTGTTTTGTAGTTCTGTAACTACAAACACCATATTTTCAGCAACTATTTTTGGGATGAGACCAAATTGGAAGAATTATTACCTTCCCTCAAAAAAACAGTGAAATCTGACCTTTTGTATAGCAGGTGTCACACCAACCTTCAAGGAACACAAACATTCTTACAAAAAACACCTAAAGGCCCCATTATTTAGACGTTATCAACTTGAACTATATTTATTTAGAAAAGAAAAGCAAATAAGCAGCTTAAGACTGTTCAAGTAATTTGGTACACCAATGTGGATCCATTTAACAGCACATTTTAAGTATTTACAGATGCTGTAATTAACTTCTAAGGTAAACAGCATCTTTTCAGGCCTCAGGATTTAACAGCTGAACAACCATAAATGCTTGCAGCTTGAGATTAACACACCACCTCCAAAGCTACCTGTAAATTTTACCTTTCCTAAAACTGAGAGAGACTTTCTAGGTCTTAAACTTCCTTGTCTTTATAACCAAGCTTCTCTATCACTACTAAATACAGTACAAAAGGTAAAAGGAAATGAAGAGTATGCTACAGAAAAAAGGACAATTAAAGAAAACTGAAATAAAGAAATAGTGCACTCCTCATATGCATACTGAATAATTACCCAACCTTCTTAGCTGCATAATACAAGTCCCAAGTGATTACCTATTGCTTGCACTGTAATGAGCCCCTCTTATCCACAAATTGATTAGGGGCATAAGCTTGCCTAAATATGTAGCACCTTTCAGCACCACTCCTAACTGCAGAGTAACTAACTGTACTCAGTTTAGCTGAGCAAAATAAGAAAACCATCAAGGAGAAAGCAACTGACAAATGCCTGCATCTAGAAGCCTTGAAAATGAAGAGTGCTAGTCCATTTCAGGGCTGCTATCTTCTCTTATTTACCAGGCTTGTAACATCAGTTCTGAAAGTGACTATTAGAAGCCTAGAAAATGAGGGGAGCTAGTGGGTTTTGGGGCTATCACAGCACTAACAGTGCAGCATACTCAAAAAACATCCACAAGTTGGGAAAACTGCACAGCAATTTTTCACTCCAAAGGCTTAAATGGACTACAATGTATACCAAAAGTTTAAATTGGCCTCAAAATTTAAACTATTTGTTTTAAAAACGGCATTGCCAAAGATGCTCCCACTGGCAATTACCCACAAAGCCCTGCTACAGACTGCTTTTGATCTTCTTTTAATTTAATTCATTAGAAGCATTTACTATCTCGTATAGTCAATCTGACCTTGCCTTTATTTTCCAACACCAATACTATCTGTACATCTTGTTAATATCCCCCCTAATTCCAATTTAGGACTGACAGTATAGGAAACAATGAGAACTTTCCTTGACAAAAAGTTTCACTGCGAGCCAAACTGGTCAGATGTTTGTGAAAGTAATAGAGGAGGAAATATTTCACACACACACACACACACACACACACACACACACACACACACACACACACACACACACACACACACACACACACACACACACCCCCCACTCAGTTCTGCTACAGCCACATCTGCAATTCCTTCTGTTCTATTCCACCAAAGAAAGCTGGAAAGGGAACTTCCAGTAGTGGTTTCTACCTTCAACTTCTGATGCTAACCATATGAATACCATTCCAAGTTAAAAATATTCAAATATTTCAGTTCAGCATGGTATTTAATAGCCCAGGAAAAAAAGAAAAAATATGTCCTACCAGTACCATTCAAGTGATCCATTAGATTTCAACATTCACAACTAAAAGTCGTAAGTCCTTCACCCCAAGTGAAGCAAAGGTGAGCCCTGATCTCAAAAAAAAAAAAGACCTGACAGTAACAAGGTTATCCTCCTACCAGACATCTAAAGCACTACTAGCATTATGGAGGTTTTAAAATTAGCACAGTTTTCAGGATTGCAACAGCAACCATGAGATTTTTTAGTTAACAATGCAGTCACCAAAAGAAACTTCACAAACTGATAACTAGATTGGACAAGAACTCAATCAACTCAACAAGGAAATGTGAAATTTACTAAGACAATCTGGAAAGTTCATATACACCATTTTTGAAAACAACAAGTTTTTTACATCACAAAAATAAATCTAATACAACATTAAACCACGTGATCCTGCCCTGTTAAAATGGCCTAAGTAAAGTCAATATTCAGAGCAAATCATATTCTTACTAAAATGGGACCTTCTATGCCTAACTGAAAGCAGCTAACATATAATATTAAAGAAAAAGCTTTTGCTAAAGAAAACTACGGCCAAAAAGCATTAACATCCTGAAATTACTGTTTTTCAAAACTTCATGAATAACAAAAATAGGTTTATAGAGAACAACACCTGAGGCTCAGGGACTGCTCTCAAAAGCTATGTCTGTTGGGAGCTACTGAACTTCCACTTACGGCAAATACTCACTCTAGACTACAGTTCAGCTCCTAACTGTCTTGGTTACTTTTCCTGAATCATAGCCCTAAGTATATATATAGAACTCCAGGGTAACAAAGAAAGTAGGATGCAAGCAAATACCCAGAAGCTACTCAAAAGAACCTAACTGATAGATCATTTTTTTTTCTTCAATGGTTTCTTTATTTACAGACTAGAAAGAGAAGTAAAACATGAACTGATAGACTGTCAATTGACTAAAGGGTAAAAAACCTCTAGAACCAACTTATGCTAATTCTGGGGAACAGCAAGTAGTGAATTTATAAACAAAACCCCCCCCCCCCCACCCCCCCCCACACACACACACACTCAACTTTCCCGTGGTCAATGAGAATGATGCCTATCTCTGGCACAACTCTGTTCCCTGGCACAATGAAGAGCAGGCACTATACTCCCAGGATCCCTGATTTTGTCATTAGTGACATCATCACCCCCAATCCTCTAAGGGCCCAGCCTATCCCCTCTTGCCCTGGCTTATAAGGCCCTATGAGGGTCAACTGGATAGCCAGAAAGAGCATTTCAACTATAGACAGGGCCCAGCACTGCGAGCACATGCAGTGCAGGTACAAGGGAGAGGGTGAGCCCCCCTGCTGATGTGTGTGGCCCTGTCCCCGCACCACAGCAGGCCATCCAGATCCACAAAGCCCTGGCTGAATGCCTCCTCATCCACGTGGACCAGTTTATAAGACAGAGTTGAGATGATTCGTGGTGGCAGATGCCACACAGAGAGGCATTACATTTTAAAAATAAAAAGAACATGGAGAAGGTCTGAGACAGAGATAAGGAGAAATTACTTCCTCTGTTACTTCCCAACATCTAGAGCTGTAACCCATCAAAAGAATATATAAGCAGAACTATTCTAGTGTTGGAACCAAAACCATACACCAGGTTCAGGTCCAAGACTATAATGCAAGCTCTCCCCCACGCACCTATACTAACATTTCATTTTAAGGCTTTATCCCTTCTCTACATGACAGTGATTTTTGACTGAGCTAGGTAAGTCCAAAGAGTTTTTGGTTCAGAGTTGAAAAGTAACCCAAGTCTCAAGTAACACAAACTTGGATTAAACAAGACACTACCTGCATCAGGACATTACAAAACACTTCTGATTGTCAGCAACCACTTACTGCACGACATGCATCTGAAATCACTTTGGAGAATGCAAGATGGAGAGAGTAATTATGGATTGTAGATATTGAAAACAAGAAACACAGTTTAGTTTTGGTTATTTTTTTTCCCCACAAAAGTCTTCAGATGAAGAAAGTGGAAGTGCTATTAAAATATTTCAGGCAAGATTTTGCTCCCTAATTTACACCCACATATATGGCTGTTATTCCTAGCTTCTTTACAGGTGTATAGAGCTCAGCAGCTTCCCCTGATAGCCTTAGTTGGCTTCATTCACCCCTGAATGTATTGTCTTCTCTCTACCTGCTCCCCCAAACTAGAATTTTTGCATACTTGCAACTCTTCTTAATGATTATCCCATTGGAAGTGATTTTCCCCAACTCAGGCAATTTCTGTAATTCATTGCAATGAGATAAAGAAGGACCAGATAGAGAGGTACCTTATAGAGCATACAGTACAGTACAAAGAACCAATCCTGCCCAATAAAAATCAAGGAAAAATTACCCCAATTTCAGATTTAAGTGTTACTACATTTTTAAAACTGACATGTATGAAGGACTGTGATAAACAGAATCCTCACCTCCCACCCCAAAGTTTACTGCACTATCCATTAAACCACTTCAGAAATTACCCACTTGGAAGTGTAATTGCCCTGAGTACAAACATTCAATCCTTTTTAAAACCTTTGAACAATTTCTTGGTAACCAGTGTACTGTCCGCGGCCAGGAGACCATAGCTCCACTGCCTGTCCTGCAAACACAGTGTCTTCAATTGGCTGGTAATGCTGGGTGCATGCTAATTAGGCAATTAAGAAAGAACCATGGAATATCAACATAGTACCAAGTGATCCTGAATCATTATTTCTAGGGCGTGAACTAGACGCCTGACTGTCTCCATTCACTAGGGCTTCCAAAGAAAGACCCTATTTCCTGTTGCTTTTCCAAAATTCTGTACAGATTTTAGGGAATCTACTGAGTTCAAAATCAAATCACTGTTTCTTTTGCAGGCAGCAGATTGGGAAGGCAGGAAAAGAGTTTCCTCTCCTCCCGCTAAAGAAGGGTGTTTCCTAAGGGGAGCATCATAGACACCGTGTCCCAGAGGTTTCTGTGCAATTCCTGAGGGGCTGTAAGAAAGGAACGCTACATTAAAGCTAGTAAGACCATTGGATATTATTATTCATGCTAGCAAAATGCCCGTCATGAATGACAGCGGGGACAGGACAGAGAGCAGCATCTGACCCATGCCCTCCCCCACACCCCTGCTGCTGCTCTGGCTCCAGCCCTGCACCCCACTGCTCCGTGCGGAAGGAGACTTGGTGCAAGGGTGCACAGGGGTGGGGTAGTGCCCAGCTGCGGGGTGTGGCACAGGGAGCAGCCACAGCGTGGAGAGCACTTGACAGCTACGTGGCATGGGGAGCGACTCTGGGGTGTGATGCAGGGTGTGCACAGGGGGCCATGGCATGCTTGGGGGAGGCGGTGCACAAACATGGGGCAGGATATGGAGTGGGGAGCAGCCCCAGGGAATGGCACAAGGCGCTCGAGGGTGTGTGGCACACGGCTGCACAGGGGGGTGGCCCGGGGAGCACCTGCCGGCTGTTTCCGCATGGTATGTGGAGCAGCCCTGGGGGGTGGTAGGGCACACTGGGAGGCATCGCATGAGGCTGTGTGGGGAAGTTGTGCGGACGCAGCCATGCAGCACAAGGACTGGCCCCGGGGTGCGGTGCAGAACACGCAGAGGGGACGTGGCGTGCAGGGGGGGGTTGCACAGCCATGGGACATGGCATGGGGACAGGCCACAGTGGGGGTATGCCCACTGGCTGTGGCCACACGGTGTGGGGCTTGGCACTGGGTGTGGCACTGGGTGACAGCTGGTGGGAGCTGCCTGTGGCTCCCCCCGCCTTCCCCCCATCCCGTGCCCTCCATGCATGCTCCCCCTCGCAGCAACCTGCAGCCGCGCCCTGCATGTTCTGTGGCTGCAGGTGGCAGGCACTCCACGCACAGAGGGGAGGGCATAGCACATGCTGGGGGTGTGACGTGTGGTGCCACGCAGGGAGCATGCATGGGGGACGCACCCCACCTCACCCTGCCCCGGGTGCTGTATTTGGCATGCGCTGCCCACACCCATGCCTGCTGTCCTTGCAGCACCCTGCCACACCGTCCCTCCCCCCCAGTCCCCACACCCTGCGGTGGGGAGCACAACCTGACCCCACCCATCCCCACCCCCACCTGTCTGTCTGTCTTTCCTAAGGCTCCGAGCCGCACATGAGCAGTTGGCCCAGAGTGTTAGACAGACAGACTGAAGTAGTAAGGCTTTTATTATATTAGAATAGCCAGGAAAAGCTACAACTAAAAAACAGTACCTCATAAAAAAAACAGGTGTGGAAGCTTGACAAAACCAGAGTTCCTGGACCTAGCTGCCCTATGTATGTATCTGTGGGACTCTCACACTCTATAACAGGCTGTCTGAACCAGCTTTCTGTCACATGCACATGCTTCCAAACCATTATGCAGGTGACCAGAATTAGTAGAAACTGGCTTTAAGATACGAGAAAAGAAACTTCTGTACCTGGCCTAACAGCTGTTATGAGGTTGAGAACTACTGCCATTAAAAAAAAAGTCTTCAACCCTGATCAGAAGTGGACTTTAGCCAAAATAAGACTGAGTCAAATCATAACCTCTTTGATATCTCTTGGCGGTTATGACATCTCAATCATACTCTTTCAGCATCAACAAGCTAATGTCTACTGAACTACATGAGCACTTGGACCATTTCCTTCATAAATTACTTCCAACTTTGAAGGGATACAAATGGAGCTAGCTTCAAAGGCAGTGGCAGCATGCTCCTGGTGATGAGACTAAAACAAATTGCTTTCAAAGTGTATCTTGGATGGCACTGGAGGGAAAAATATTACCAGTCCCAAAATGATGATACCTGTGAAAAAGGATAGAGATGGTTCCAAGCTGGAAAACTGTAAACATAATGGGAAGGCTAACAATTCAAAGTGAGATCAAACCTGAGGCCAGAATTATGGAGAGATTTAGAAGCGTGTGGACTGGAGCATTTTTTTCTAACACTGCCTCTGTCCAGTTGGCATGAACCAGTGCAGAGCCAAGGGGCAATGCATTTCTGGTAGCCCATCAGACTACTGGTGAGCTGGATCTGGCCCATGGGCTGTATGTTTGACACTTCCTGGTTTAAAGGATGGTTATTACATTTAGATTTCAATATTCTTCATTTGAAATTAGTAAATGCTAAATTTTTAATTCTAGGTATTATATTTATAAATGCATTTCCAGATAAGGTTATGCTGATCTAAATCATTGTGCAGCTTAAGTTTTTCATTTCACATAATATACATAATTTTAATATAAATCTTTGAATCACAGAAAAATTCATACTTAAAATGATGTAAACATGATAACTTCTAAGAGAATTAAATTACTTTCCTACAGTTACCTTGATCAACTCCAGTTAGCTGATGATTAGATGTAAAATAACTGGCAGGTTCTTCAGCATCTTCATGCCCATATTCTTCTGCTAATGGCTCAGCAAGCACAGAGGGCTTGTCACGTCTTGAATAGATAAACTGAGCTGCTACAACATTAGTAAGAAACAGAACATTTAAAATGTTTTCCCATTCTTTAAACACAAAAATCTAACTTCAGGGAAAAACAGATACTGTCTTGCCTCAGCTGATTTGGAAAAGAAAAAAATACAAATCTCATTTTAAACATATTATTATTTTAAGATATTCAAATGGGACAGTCACTGTCTAATTAGCTATTTAGGATGGTCCCTCATTACTAAACGTGAAATGTCCAAGGAGAAAGCAATATCTATGCATCTCTGAATATCATGTACAGTTATACCCAGTTCAATATTCAACCAAAATTACCTTATGCAGACTAAAAAACTGAACATTTGTATGGATCAACATCTCTCACAGTTTATTTTTTTTAACCTGTGACCCAATCTTTATATTTATAATCACATGTAGAACCCTTTCCAATGTTTAAACTTAAAAAAAAATCATGGAATCATAGAAGTAGGGTCGGAAGGGACCTTGTAGATCTTCAGGTTCGACCCCCTGCCTGGGCAGGAGGAAAACTGGGCTCAAATGACCCCAGCCAGGTAGGCATCGAGCCACTTCTTAAAGACCCCC